CACTTGTGCCACAAAACATAACACTTGTGCTACAAAACACGCCCACTTGTGCTACAAAACACGCCCACTTGTGCTACAAAACACAGAAACTTGTGCTACAAAACACAGAAACTTGTGCTTCAAAACACACCCACTTGTGCTACAAAACACGCTCACTTGTGCTACAAAACACGCTCACTCGTGCTACAAAACACGCCCACTTATGCTACAAAACACGCCCACTTATGCTACAAAATACGCCCACTTGTGCTACAAAATACACCCACTTGTGCTACAAAACACACCCACTTGTGCTACAAAACACGCTCACTTGTGCTACAAAACACGCCCACTTGTGCTACAAAACAAAACTCTTGTGCTACAAAACACACCCACTTGTGCTACAAAACACGCTCACTTGTGCTACAAAACACGCCCACTTGTGCTACAAAACACGCCCACTTGTGCTACAAAACACACTCACTTGTGCTACAAAACATAACACTTGTGCTACAAAACATAACACTTGTGCTACAAAACACGCCCACTTGTGCTACAAAACATGCCCACTTGTGCTACAAAAGCACACCCACTTGTGCTACAAAAACACACCCACTTGTGCTACGATGGCTGGAGGAGCACTTGTTCAGTGCAAACAATGAGTATGGCAAGGTTTAAAAAAGAGATACTATGAAGTTAAAGTTTATGGTTAGTTTAACAAGATCAAGTACAATAAATTACATAAAACCAGTAAAAACACAAGGGGAGTGTTTTGAAGGGGGCGTGTCCTGTAGTGACTGTTAGCTAAACCTAGACTCTACTCAATGGATCAGCACCAGCTCCCACCTCATTAATATTCAAAGAGGAGTTACAAGAAATGACCCACAGGAGATAAAAATACTTTTCTGAGACTTAAAAGTTTTACCAGTTTGTGAGAAGTTGATGGAGGAGGAGAGGAGAAGGAGGAGGAGGAGGAGGAGTCAGAGAGTTCTCCTTGGTGACTGGGAGGAAGGACCCTCTCTGAACCTGTGAACCGGTCAGATAAATGTTCAGGGTTCAGGCAGGTGTTATGTAGCTAAGTGATGTCATCAGGGACTCACCTGTAGAGGGYGGAGCCAAGCCAGCTTTCAGGACTGGACTGATGAGCTGCAGTGAAGGAATCAGACAATCAAAGACCTCAAAACCTGTACTGATTTACTTTGGTACCCCTCCTGACCCCGATCACAGAAACCAGGACTCTAAACCCCGGTCAGAACCAAATGAGGTCTTAGAGCTCAGATGACCCAGTCCTCACCCTAAAGATCTCACCTGCATCTGATTCTGCCCTCCCTGGGGCGTGTCTCCAGACTGGCTGGGCGGCGCCCCCTGCTGGACTGAGCCCGTCTGAGGTGCTGAGGGGCTGAAGGCTGGTTGGGTTGGGGGTGGGGTGGAATAAGATGAGTGGTTTTGATGTTGGAGCTTAGAGACCAAAGATGGAGATCCAGGAGGCGAGAGGGAGGCCTGGGGGTTCGAGTACAGGGGAGACAGGGTCTGAGGGTGGGGGGCGTGAAAGCCCTGGTTTGGGGCCCCAGTTGGGGGCAGGAGGGACTGGGCCACGCTCATGGCCACAGACAGGACGTTAGCCAGAGAGAAGAGAGGCTGGTCAGGGGGAGGCCACTGAGGAGGGGGAGGCACAGAGGGGGAGGAGATGGGGGTGAGGAGGGAGGGGTTGCTTTGGACGCGGGGCAGAGGAGGGATGGGGGTCTGGGTGGGGTAGAAGGCTGTGTAGGTGGAGTAGTGGTGAGTCGGGAGGTGATACTGAAGAGCAGGGGGAGGTGGGGAGAAGGGAGGGGCCTGATAGGAGGAAGCTGGAGAGAAAAACAGGAAGAGGAAAAGTTTATATTTTAAAAGTCTGCAGCGATGGCTGAAGGAGAAAATGTTTTGTTTGCATCATAAATAAGTGTTTAAGGGACAAGTTGTACCTGACGGAGTCTGAAAAGACTGGGACCTCAGCGGTCTGACGAGGGGTGTGGCCTCAGGGTCGATGCAGAAATCAACAGCCTTCAAAGGGGAGGGGCTACTGTTGTCAATGTCTGACAGGAAGAAACAAAAATAAATTAACTTTCTGTATAAATTTCATCCCCATCTGCTGTTTCCTACTGGAGCTCCTCTGTACAAAACGTTAACCAGGTAAAAATCTGGTTTCTTCCACACACATTTTTTTTCTTACCAATAAGGTTAGAGAAATTTATTTTAAATTAATTCATAAATTTTATCTAACCAAACATTTTCTACAGAAATACAAAGCTGATATTAATACTTCCTGTTCTTTCTGTAAACTTTATCCAGAAACATCTGTTCACATTTTTTGGAAATGTACCTGTTCACAGAACTTTTGGAAAGACATTAGATTTCCTCTATCAAACCTGATTTCTCATTGTATTTTGAAAATGTTACGTTTGGTTTCAGATTTTAAAGCGAAAGACTCTTCGGCCATATATCTGATTTTGTTTCTGGCAAAGTTTCATATTCAAAAAGTAAAATAATGCACAGAAAACCGCTTTTTGACCTCTTTACAATGGATGTAAAATTATATTTTAATACAATCTCGGATTCAAACAACAAGAAGGCTGTAAAAACAAAACATCTGTAGTATTTACAACCTTACCCTGTAACTCTCGTTTTTTGTTTTCTTTCTTTTTCTGTTCCTTTATATCTGTTTTCCTGAATTTTTTTGTAAGATTTGCAAAGTTGTTAATAAAAAAATTCTGTATAAATAATTAGATAAAAACATACCAGGTAATGAGGATGAGGACATAGTTCTGGACAAGCCCTTTGCTACCASATTTAACTGTAAAAAATACAAATTGGACACAAAAAGCAGTCAGTAAATCATAAACACTGCTGTTCCACCCGCAGGAACTTTGTAATGACTTAAATAATCAGGTCATGCTTCATTTAACAGCTAAAAACATGTAGTTTCAGTATTTACAGTCAAAACAGCTTTCACTTCAACAACACTCCCTTTGTGCACGATACCTGTGATTCAGGCAGCGTGGACTCCGTCAGCGGGGACAAAGTGTTCGGATGCTGCTGATGCTTCACAAGCTCCGCCCTCTTGATGATTTCATACATCCGAAGGATGAAACCGTCCCGCTCCGACGGCAGGATGAAGTCTCTGTGGAGCTAAAACAGACAGTGAAAAGAACCAGAAAACTTTWAAGCTTTTCTACGGTGAAACGTCAGGTAAACATGCTCTGCTCTGATTGGTCCACGTCCTCACCATCACAGATGCAATGTCCTCAGGATTGTCTCCATCCAGGTCAAACTTAAAGGTAACCATCTTATTGTTGTGAGTCTGCAGCTGACACTCCACAACTCGGTCCACCTTATCGGACAACTGATGACACCAAACACACAGGACATGGTTCTATTAACAGGAAGTGACTCAGGGTTACAGGAAGTAACTGTGAGTTACAGGAAGTTACTCTGAGGGTTACAGGAAGTGACTGTGAGCGTTACAGGAAATGACTGTGAGTTAAAGGAAGTGACTGTGCGTTACAGGAAGTGACTGTGAGTGTTACAGGAAGTGACTGTGAGTGTTACAGGAAGTGACTGTGAGTGTTACAGGAAGTGACTCTGAGGGTTAGAGGAAGTGACTGTGAGCGTTACAGGAAGTGACTGAGGGTTACAGGAAGTGACTGGGAGTTACAGGAAGTGACTGGGAGTTACAGGAAGTGACTGGGAGTTACAGGAAGTG